CCCCCCCCCCTGATCTATAGAGAGCCCTACAGGATATCGTCATCCTGCTTGATCATATCTCAGGTCGAAAGGGTCTAGTTACCAGGATTCAGCGTGAGTGATAGGCCTGTTTTTTCATGTCCTGCCCTTTCCGTTGCAATGGAACTTTGGTTATAAGAGCTGTGCGCTTAGAGCTGTCTGGGCACTCCATTCAACGAGAAATCGTCGAGGATGGCCGGCTCTACACATAGAAATTTATACCCAAGCTCTGCTGCTGCACCCATCCCCCAATTCGAGCTCCTTTCAACGATTCACCATCCCCTTCACCTTGTCCTCCATAGCTTCAGTTCTTTGATCTGTGCATGGGCTATGCACCAGGGTCTTGATATGGGCCCCGCCACAACACGTCACTTTACAAGCGTGGATTGCAGCCCACGTCCAGCTTCACCTCTAGCGCATTGCCCCCGGGACTTTTCCTGTACGCAACATCCCTTGTCGTCCAGATGCCATCGATTTTTGTTCCAAGCTTCAGCTGCAGCTCTCTCTGACACTCCTACAAGCCTATCCATTTGTTGATTTGGCTATAAGAGCGCCTCAGTAGCCGTAAGTCAGAACATCATTCCTGTGCAGCATCACGTTGCCACTTACTATTATCTCTTCATTTCTTTCGCACATCCCTCGTTCACTCTTGTTTCCAATCATTGACCCTTGACAACATTCGCCCATTACTCGATGTATTTTCTATGGCAAACATTTTCAAAACTGAGAGGCTAACTAAACCCGAAAATAGACAACTGACGACGAGTAACCTCTCCTCATTCGCCCCGCGATACCCCTCACCTGCGTTGACCTTCAATACTCACAGGGATCGATTCTCTGGCTATTTGTCGATAGCTTTATAACACATCTGAAGAAAACAAACTTTGTTCCAACTCTAAATCATGTCTGGGCCCTTTTCCAGCCCCTTTGGGGAGAACAGCAACCCTTTTGGGACAGACAGGGGAAAGAGGACGAATAACGCCATTCATGCTGTTGCCGAAGAAGATGAGAACGATACCATCACATCTCCTACAAACCCTCGATTTGGGGCTTCGCCAGACTCCGCTTCCATGTTCTCTGGCCCTTTCGGTGGTGGCTTTGGGGGTGACTCTTCATCCGAGGCACCCCCATCGCGTAACCTCCCAAACCCCGATAGCTACCCTGCTCAGTACAATTTTGGTCGCCGAACATCAGTCTCTGCCGAATCTCTGAAGCCAAGTGCTGATTCATATGACAATTGGTCACCACCTTTTCACGAGAAGTCTGCGGACCAGCTTGAGCGTCTTAAACGTGCTATTGAAGGAAACTTTCTTTTCAGCCATCTCGAGGATGAACAGAGCGCCCAGATCCTCGGGGCTCTTGTTGAAAAGCCGATACCAGCTAAAGGTATCAAGGTAAGTAGCGTATTCCCGACGTTGAATTGAAAGTCTGACAAGATGTTGTAGGTTATTAGCCAGGGTGATGCGGGGGATTATTTTTATGTCGTCGAGAAGGGATCTTTCGACGTATATGTCAATCCTAGTGGTTCGCTTCAACCCGGTCCGGATGGCATGGGTAACCAAGTCGGCAACATTCAGGCTGGTGGTTCGTTCGGAGAACTGGCACTGATGTACAATGCGCCTCGAGCTGCGACGGTTGTCTCAGCTGAGTCCGGTTGCACTGTATGGGCACTCGACCGTGTTACCTTCCGCCGTATTCTTATGGAGTCGACCTTCGCTCGGAGGCGCATGTATGAGAGCTTCCTTGAGGAAGTTCCACTTCTTGCAAGCTTGAACCCATACGAGCGCTCCAAAATTGCCGATGCCCTTGAAACAAAGAAATTTGCGGCAGGCGAGGTCATCATCAATGAAGGAGACCCCGGCCACGCATTCTACCTTCTGGAGAGTGGTGAGGCAGATGCTTACATTGGCCAGCCTGATAACAAGGTTCGCCATTACAAGAAGGGCGATTACTTCGGCGAGCTTGCCCTGCTTAATGACGCTCCGCGAGCAGCTAGTATCGTTGCTACGTCTCCAGTCAAGGTTGGCAGTCTGGGCAAGAACGCTTTCCAGCGACTTTTGGGTCCTGTAGAGGGCATCTTACGAAGGACCAAGTATCAGGGTGTTGCAACCGGTGTCGAAGAGATGGACCCTCTCCACACCGGCTAAGTCAACAGGGAAGATATATGAAAGCATCAAACTGAGGTTTATTGGACACGCCGGTAATCTCAGCCACTGGTCTTAGTAGTGCTGTTGGGTTCGCCTTGTGCTGGTTGGGTGTAAATGTTGATGGCGATGCGCCTCGGGTTGGATTGAAATGGACGACGGAGGAGTTGACTTTGACATGGCGTTTTGTGAGGTTTTCTACCACCTTCGCTTCCTTGGAACAAGTATTGCTAATGATCAGAGACCTTGGTCGATATCAATATCATTAAGCTATATCTCTTCACACCATGAGCAGTAGAAGGCGACGAGACTGAGATTAGAAGTAGCCATTGACGAGCAATCTGTTAAATTAGGGAAATTCCGTGTGACTTTAGTCTGTGTGGCTTCCTTTATTAAAGGCTCTATTGAAAAGATAATGTTGGTATCAAAACGCCTGAGTTGATGAGGAAAATCCTACGAACCGATCAGTCCGCCTCTATGTATCCCATGGTAAGCGTACCTGGGTACTAGTTACTGCTCCTGACCGTCTGTGGCCCTCCGCGCGAGCTCCTCCCGAATCTTCCTGCGAAGTTCTTCAACCGCAACTTCAGTTTCTAGCACCCGACCGACGCCAGTGCGCCAAGTATCATCCAGTGTCTTGATCTCAGCCCCTACAGCGTTCTGCCTCTTCTGCCTCTCTAGGTTCACGATATCGATTTCACGCTTAGCAGCAGCAAGTTCACGCTCCAATGCCTGGAGCTCTGCCTCCAGCCCATGGTTCCCTAAGAGCCAAGCGTTCTTTCCCCACTTCTCTAGAAGCTCGAGGTTTGTGAGACGTGAGGAGAGGTAGCTATGTGCGATGGCGGCAGCGGGCAGGGCGGTCGCTGGAGGGGCGCTGGGAGAAGGAGCCTCGTAACGGCTTAAATCGAGCGGTGCAAGGGGCGTGGATTTGGAGACGCGCTCAAGCTCGGCTATCATGGCGGGCGTGAAGGAGGGTTCTGGATTGGAAGTCGGCAGGGGAGGTTGAGAGGATGCTTCGGCGGCGATTAGGTCACGGGCTGCGGCCAGAGCTTCGGGAGTCGGTTCCTGGTCAACATCTAGAGGTCAGTTAGCAAAGGAATGAGTAAGCGGGACTCAGAGATGAATGACACTTACAAGGAAGGGATTCGTGGTACGCTGGAGGAATGGGCATCTTGAATTATGTGTCGCGGTGCGCTTCGCCAATCCAGGCCGCCTGAAAGTGGTGAATCAATTGAGAAGAGGATAAGGGCTTGTATATAAGATTTGTTCTCTGGTTCTTTCCGACTTAGGAACAGTATTTAGGAAATCGTGATTTTGTACTGATACAGGCAGATACGGTCGATAACTGAGATACAATTGCGATCACAGCCTTGCCGCCACAAACTTTCGCAAAAATTATGAGCAAGGAGAGCAAGCACGGACCATGAAGTAGCCTTATCCGGCCTATTCGATCAGCCTTGGTGGCTGAGCTTAGCAGTGTAATGTGCAGGGATAGCTTCCCCGCGTCTGAATCAATCGGGATGGTGACGGAGTCGCACTCCACCAAAGAACGGCGGCAAGCAAAGTGCAGCAGATTTAGGGACAAAGACGCCAATGCCACCGACCCGAATTTATGTTACAAATGTATGCAGGATAACAAACCCGGTCGTTCCTACGTTCGAGGCTTTCTTGATATTTACAGCCATAAGGAAGGAGGACCTCGGCCTAATAATCACCGAAGCGAGTGAGTTGTACCATAACTTGACCCTGCGTAGAACTCAGCACGCTCGAGCGCAAACCGACTGCTCCCAGTGCTAGATATGGATGTTTGTAGGCGGCACTCAGTGTTTTGCTTTCCTGGCATTGTCATGAATAAACCTGATAATCGATTAACAAAGTGGTTACCGACGCACAATCAATCTGAGGGTTTCAAGGACTCCTTGATTAAATAAAAGCCTGATAATTTAAGATGATTTTTATGTAGGAGTTGAACGCGTGGGAGACTTCTTCCCGTAACTTATAAGCTGTTCAAACTGAAGAGGCATCTGATAATATTAGCTGTGCCTAATTTCGGCTATGAACAGACTTGTTGTTCGCTTTGGTGCGAAAGTTAAGATAGTTATACAGTAATACATTGTTCCGCTGGAAATCATACTTTCGCAGGCGGCCATAAACCATGCATGATCCACGTAGAGATCTGAGTAAGTCACGAGGGTTTCAACAATTCCGCCGATATCCCTTTCCATATTCCCCAAGCATTTCATCCGGTGACCTCACCACAAGGCAGTTTGGTTTCTGTTATTTCATTCGTTTAGTCTCGTGTCGTTTCGTAGTTGTAAAGCAAAGATCAAGCTCGCGTCGCAATTCCAATACATGTGAACCCTCAAAGATGCTTCTGCCATCGTATGTATGACAGCAAGCAGTGACTATCAATCTCTTGACAAGGACTCGATAATCTGATTAGGATGAGGACCGACCGCTCTCGGAAGAGTCGGTCTTTGAGAGATCCTCGTGGTCTTCTTCCTCGGGGCCGTGAAGTGACTCCTCAAAGACCGGCTCGGGCTCGTTGACCTCAAACTTGGTCTTGAGGTCGCTCACGTGGTGAGAGAAGCTGCTGCTGTTGGAGCGGCGTCTAGTGTTTGTGAAGGTGAATTGTTCGTCAGCGATGTCGTCGTTGACGGTTCCCCTGCAGGTCGTGTAAGTGAAATGTGGAGACAGCGACATGGGTTGCATTGGGCTAACATACCAGTTGCCTCGACCAGAGCCGTCTTTCTTCACCTTCTTTGGGTCGACATCGGCAAAACCGTTCTTGCCAAAGAAACGAGGGACATTTTCCGTGGGGAGTGCGGTTCCCTCGGCAATACCCTTGTGGTCACGGTCGTTGGCCTTGTGAGATCGGGTCACTGTGAGCAGTACCTGTTAGTACCATGGCATGACAAAGAAGTGGTCATAGGCTGACTTTTGGATTGTATGTCAAGGTGATATGAAGAAGAGGTGTTATTTTGATGGTATGCGAGATGAAAGATGTAGATTGATGACCAGGATGATGAATGATGGAAGGAGGGGTTGAGGTGCGCGAGAATTGGAAGGGGAGCTCATCTGCTTTTAAACGGATTGGACGGCGGGCCAAACGTCACCAACGGCACTCGCCAGTGAACATGAGCATGCCCTCCTCTGGAGTCTACCTAAGCTACGCCAGGTGCGGGGTGACCAAGTACTCCGTGTATATAAGTTGCTATACGGAGAAAGGGGGGAGCAGGAAGAGTAGTACCTGGGAGAGGATCGACAAGACTGTGAAGGATTTGAGGAACTCACTTTTGAGCAGCGGAAATATTTTAGAACTGGCACCGGGAGATTCTATAGCACGCGGTCGAGTTAGGATGCGTGAGTTGGCGTGAAATTGAAAGAGGTGGTGTTGAATCTCGGAGTAGGTAGATAGATTGTCAAGGACTCAGTTGACTTTGGATGAGGGGATGGTTATTTATGGGTGAATATTGCGTAAGAGAAAGATGGGTTGTGATGGCAGGATCTTCAATTGTGTAGAAGTGATAATTCAAGACGAAGCAAGAGGATTTGTCTGTGATCTAGGAACCTGCTTGCTTGGAAGGGGGTCTTGCCTTTATATCCCGACAGTCACGCGAGGGACGATGCGTGATGGCATCACATTGTGTCCAATCAGCTCATTGCAGTCCGATGCTCCTTCCCGCCTACCCAGCATCATTTTACACGAGGGGAAGCTACGGCAGCTTCCCAACGGATGACAGGCTTTCAATTGGACAATTGCGAATCAAGGAGAGCAAAGACGAGAGACGGAGGGGCCAAGCTCATGGACTGACTTGATTGACCTTGCTTCATCATGGTCCATCATGGAAAGACCAGGCGTGCAGATTCACCCAGTGCAGGGACCCACCTCTCCACCTTGCTGTGCTGATGAATACTAATAAGTGGACCTCGCATGTCCCATCCCGACCGCCTATCGCGTGACCACCTACAAGTACCTATGCGCAAGCAGCCGCTGGCCGAACTCTCTGGTCCAACAACACCTACCAAGCTACAGTTTAACGTGCTATGGAGTAGGTACAGCTTAAAGCACGTTACAACCAGCTTAGTAGGCACCTACTGCGGGAGCCATCTTCCAGCATTCCATTTGTAAAAGAACCAAGTAGACTGGTAGACAGACTGTCTGATTTCAAGTGAGACTTCAACTGAATGACACAGACGTGGAAAGCACATACCTGTTCAATTCCATCATGCTATCGCTCTCTGTGTCATCTCTCCAGATCAATGAGTGGAATTGAATCTAGCCCCTGGCCTCCTCTAACCTCCCGAGGCAAAGAGGGGCCATGCCATGCTCCAGTGCCTTTGACCATTGGGTTTCCACAAACACTAATACCGATGCTGAAATGCAAGGACCCCGGATTCGTGAACTTTGAACCTCCATTCTGTATGGTGCAGACTTAATTATCACCATCCTTGATGTGCAACAACTCTTTGGCATGGGGCTGACCTCACTGTCCAGTGCAATGGATGTTTCTACAATCAGCACATGTCTTATGAGTCTTTGGCTCTTCCTTGGCTTTTGGCTGCAGGTGGCCCAGAGGCTGACGGCTTGACCCCACAAAGTCATGAGTGACAATCCCGCTTATAATTATGGGACCAGATCTGGGGTAAGCCAGTAAGACACGCAGGTACCGGCGGCTCTATAAGTGATATGCCAACCGCAGTATGTAGAAATGGCTTGGATCGATGGGCAAGGAAAGCCCATTGGAACAGGGGAAATGGCACAAGGAAACTTTTGACTGCAAGATATGTGCTGCGATACTCCGCCTTTGGATAACTACTTGTACCTACCTTATGGTTCACGCACAGACAAGACATACAATCACACAATAGGGAGCCTGGGAGCCATGGGTGTCAAACAATTGTTGATACATACGTCTTACGTTGAACTCGGCCCCACAATATATGGCTGAAAGAAGATGAATTATACATACGTTCATCCCTGGAGGAATCGTGAATCTCAAAAAATCAGGCTTGTAGGGGAAATGGTATGCCAGGTCTACCTACAGGTACAACTTTACCATCTCCGATACCGCCCCGACGTCGTGTCTGCTCGACTCAGCCCCCAGCGATCAATGGATCTCAACAAGGACCGACTCAGTGCTAACATGAAGCTGGAGAGCACATGACCCCCTCCTTATCGGCCCATTTTGTATACATATTTAGTTATCACCGAAACCCGCCAATCGCAGACGCCAATTGAATTCGGAGCCCTTCTCAACACTCATCGGTGATTTGAATCCGTTTTCGGCGTACTTGAGGGGGCTTCTGTATCCATATTGCTCGCTACTCATGACATGCCTGCTTCTCGTGACCCGAATGGAAACCCTGAGTAGGATCCTCTCGATTCCAGAAACGCCGCCAAAGACTTAGGTTGAGGTCTTGTGACCTTCCCCACTGCTCCATCTTATTGCCGTATTGCCAGACAAGGCCAACTTCACAGCTCAGGCCATCAAGAACCACTTGGGTGACAAAGGAGCGATGACCAGCTCTGTGTACCAACAATATGAGAGAGAAAGGTTATCAGAATGTATATTAGATAAATCTGACATTTGCTATGGAGCCTAGGGCTGGTCAAGTTCGCAAGAAGTCCATAAGTGTACGGGGCGGGAGTCTTCCCCTCGTACCGCCCTTGAGAATAAGCCGGAACGAGCTGTCCTTCAACCACTAGGACAACTCCTATGTATACATATTATTATAGTCTCTTTGTTGGCGTGGCCAAGCAACATACTTGTACTTCTATCAAGTAGCCTGTCTGGATGCCTACCCACCAGGTTTTCTCTCACTCGCGGCAACGGGGTTATCATGGATCCAATGCCTAGACTAGGTAGATCATTCACTATCAGTTAACATTGAAGCCCATGTTATCTCATATGGCTGTGTTGCTTAGCTATTGAGACTCATTAAGTATGCGTCAAATTGGGTTCTCTTAATTGCTGTTCCCCCCCCTATCTTCGCCGTATCGAGACGGCATCTAATAAACCCCCTTTGCTTATTTAATAAAGAAATATCGTCGACTTGCGCCTCAATGATACAACTGCAGCGTCATCCTCGTCCCAGAAAATGCTCACTCTGCGTAATCAAACAAATACATTTCTCCCTCCCCCTCTCAGCATATCACCTATGCATATT